CCATGACCCTAGTGAGGATTAAGGTGTAGAGATGATGGATGGATATGTAACATTGCGTCATCGCCAAAAATAAAACTTCAAAACGCTCTGGGAGTATTTCTTACGACCTGTGTGTGTTTTCTTGAGCGCTGATGGAGGCTGTTTCAGCGTGGCGAGAATTCAATTTGCACTTGTCAGTCACTGACATCTGCCTCGTCTACAGAAGGCCTCTTCTGGTGAAGAGGCGACTCTGAGAAAATGAGACGATCACACGAGTGCAGCGTTTGAGATGTGCTCTCCCACTGGGAACCGGAGAGCACGGCGTTCACACAGAAACACCTGGACCCAGCCGTGGTTCTGATAAAAAAGAAAATCCAGCTCACCTCTTCACTCGTGTTGTCATCATCCACAGTGGCTCTGAAGGGACCACTTACCCGCTGAGTGATCTGAATCCTACGTGCACCAGCTGTGATTAAAGATCATTCGTATGAGCAGGCGTCCTCTGCGTGCAGCTATGCTAATATGCACCTGTTCAGACGGCGATAGGAGGGATGTGCGGGCTGCTCAGGTGCACGCTTCCATTCAGGCACACACGAGGAAACTTGAAGCTTTTGTGGCGACGTGCTGAAGGCTGATGAAAGGTTCTCGCTGGAAACTGAGCTTCTCCATGTCTCCATTTAAAAACGAGCAACAATAGAGCCCCGTGCTGCTCCATGCATCTTATTTAAATGTCAATATCCATCCCAGAGAGAGACGCTATCTGAGCACCACTAAGAGAGAGAAACCTCCTCGTCCTCCTCGTCGGTCGATCGCCACCGTCGTCTAATTACACCCACTTTAATTACAGCATTGTGGGAGATGCTATCGGTTATGATGATGGCGAGGCTGATGATTAATGCCCGGACTGGCAGTTAGATCTGATTAAAGCGCCGCCACGTGTTACGAGCCGGGGCGCTCTGGACGTAAGAGGATGGACGAGCTGACGGAGGGGAGGGAAGGTGGAGGAGCCGCGAGGCGATTACAGCAGCTCCTCATCGAAACACCGACGTTAAATATTTAAGAGGATATTTGTGGTGGTTGAACTGGCGGTTTTATGGCTGTTTAAGGGCTCCTCAGGTTTTTTATGCTGCACTCTGAAAGATGAAGCTTTGGCTCAACGACGAAAACAAAAAAACGTTTTCATTTTGTCTTTTTGAGACTTAACTAAGTTCTGTTCAACCAACTAACTGCACCGAGTCGGGAGAATTAGCTTTAGTTTAATTAGCACTTTTTGGTAAGAATTAGAAGAACTAACACAAGTTTTTTAGCTCCAAATAGTTTGTCAACATAATTTAAAGTTAATTATGAAATATTATGCACTTAATCTTTGTGAACAAAGAGTTTAAAATGATGTAATTCTAGTTTCTTCAGTAGCTTTGGGCTTTTTGTTGGTGTTGTTAACGGACAAAATGACTAAACGAGGCTGCACAGGCATTTTCAGTCCATATTTATTAATGCACTAAAACCATGAATGAAGCAGCAGTATAATATTATTGAAGGAGTACATTAAGGCATGAAATATTGCAGCTAATGAAATAAAATGTGCAGTAGGTAATGTGTGATGTTACGTGTGGTAAAGATTCAGCGGGCTGGGAGTCAAACCGGTGACTCACCACTCAGGGCTTTGGTGCCCACGTAGCTTTGACCGCTTGGATCCACTCAGGTGTCGCATATAATCCTCAACAAACCTGGAACCTGCTGTACCAGAGCAGACTCTAACACTCTGGATCTGGGCTCTTGGGTCTACAGGTGGATCCATGAAGAGAAAATCATGATTATTGGACTTCATGTTTTACAAAAGGTCCCAGAACTTGTCGGATGTTGCCTTAACGCCACGAGGAAGGATGTTCCAGAAGCTGTTAGGTGGTTCAGCAAACACTCTGGAGAAGCCTTGACATCTTCTCTCCTGTTTCTACAAAAGGTCAAACATCTCCAGACGCTTATTCAGCTCAGTTTAATGTGTTCCTCATCATGATTCAGAGCATCAGAGGAGGTTTTTCAACAATACAAAGCTTCCACTCTCCCCGTGCTTCAGTATTACTTTTATTCAGATTTAAAACCAGAGGAGCTGCTTCTTAGTGGAAACTCACAGCATTCGGAGCTGCCAGGTGACGTTCAGCTCCTCTCGCTGTTCCGCCTCATCGAGCGCCAAACGTCCAGAGAGCCAAATGCAGGAGTTTGGATCCCAGCGTTTACCGACGCAGCGTTTAAGCTGCGATGTGTAAATAAGTCTTGTGGGCCCGACGCGCTTGTTCATGCGAAGGATCTGTGAAGGCTTCGGGCGTCCCACTTCGGTTTTTCTGTTCCGCCAAAGTGCCCAGAAGTGCCGCCGGGAGCCCCTCGTGCACCTTTAAGGAAGCATTTCTACTGGATTTACGGCAGCCTTTTATTCACAAACTACCTTCAGTGGATGATCGGCAGCGGAGCAAAAAAAAAAAAGTCATTTTAGGGGAAGGTGGATGTTTTAAATCAACAGAAACAGGTGGAGGTTTAGTCTGTTTCTGGTGTTTTCTGTCACTCTGTGGTGGTGATGCAGCTGGACGGTGTTTTCTTTTCTTTTTTGTTGCGTTCAACACATTTGCGAGACCTCATGACTTTATTTTGCAGGAAGACTCTGCAGGACGTCGTCCTAATGGGTCTCCGTAAACGAAACGCTTTGATTAATGAGAGCCTCATATTTCACCCAGTGGAGATATGTTAATGCCGAAGTTCTGATAAACGATAGAAAGAGTTCATGTTGAATTCGGCTGTTTGTCAAGAACAAGATTTAAGTTTATACGAGAGCTCGACGTGTGAGTCACGAGTTGTTCTGTCGGTAGAACACGTTGGATGGAGCTGAATAAATGACACTCGGTAAAGTTTAAGAGGGTTTTCAAGAGAGTTGCTGAGTGCAGTCGTGGAAATTAACTCGTTTACTCAAGTGCACTTATGTATAATCATGAGGTTTATTTTTGCTCTCCACTCGAGTATTTTCATTTTACTACTTTACATTCAAGATAAGAAACGTCATTCTTTGTCCTCCGCCACATTTATTCGACGGCTACGGTTGGTTTTTAAAATATAGATTTTACACATTTGATCATATTTCGACGCAGTTCAAGATTAAACCAGCGTTTTTTGGTTCCTGAACTCTTCAGAAGATCAGCGTGTAGTCAGACTGCAGATCCCTGAGCTCACTAAACACTGATCTTTATCTCTAAACCTGGTTTTACTGCAATAACCGTTCACGTGATGCAACGTGTCACCAAAAGCTGGAAAACAGAAAAATGTTCCAGATTTCTTTTTCTGTCCTGTTAATCATGTTCAGAGCCCTCAGATTAATCTGCTGTCCCTGTAAATAAATACATATATGAGGTAGTTATTCTGGTAGATGAATCGTAGCTTGAGTTCCTTGAAGACGTTCCACCTCTCATCCAAGAGGCTTCATCAGCTCTGACTGACTAGTTGGGAGTTCCACATACTGATATCCTGAAGGAGACATTAACACCTGAGTTTCTGTTTCAATTGGGGGTTTGTTGCTCCTCCCCCTCGTTATGTGGGTCGTTAGTGCTCCCCCTGCCACAGTGGGGTTCGTTAGGGTCTTTGTGACTAGGTGTGGAGGTGGTTTCATCTTCCTGGGGAGAGATCTTAGGACTGAACTGTAAACAGGTGGGAGGTGATGCCAGGCAGGACCTTACATCTGACTGTAGGTTCCGTCCATCTGAGCAGAACGGCCCGTCTGGCCCAGAGGGAAGTGACGGACAACATGCGACGGACCTCCTTCATTTATCTTAAAGAAGCAGAAAACAGTGCACGAGGACATGAACAGCTGCTCCAGCTGGAGTCGACCTCCAACTTATCAGTCGGATCAAAGACGTTGTTCTGTAATAATTAGTCAGTGAAATGGGATCAGAAGGATATCGTGTTCTGTTCTGACCCGGAGGGCCTCGGCACAGTCAGCGTCTTGTCCGACCGGACGGCTGCAGCTCGCTGTTAGTCAGCAAGTCTCTGCTGTTTGCGTTCAGATATCAGGACTTTGTGCCAAAAGGGGGAAAAACCACAAGCGTGCAGAGTCGAGCTGCTTCCTGCGCTGCTCACAGGTCGGCCCGATGAATGGCCTGGTGCTGGTTGAATACTGAACGATCAATTTAGCGCCGAGGAGCAAATGAAGAGGTTCAGATGTGACACCAGCCCTCAGGACGGCGCTCAGAGAAGAGACGGTCGGCGAGTCGGGTCATCGTTTGGCATCAAATGAGATCAGTGACACTCGGCAGGCTGTCTTCGCTGCAGCCTGAGGCCCGATTACAGCAGCTTAACTTCACCAGGATGAACCATGGCTCTGTGTCGTACAGTAGCTTCACTATGCAACGCTTTAGCTTCATGCTATGAACATTTTCAGGATCTTAACGTCGATAGAAGCAGGTGAACATGTCATGCTTTTTCAGTGTGCGTTGCTTTTTACAGCCTCATCCTGCATGTGTGATCTGTTTTCTAACAACTCACTGGAGGAAACATAGAAAACTGCATTTTTGTGCCCTTCCTTCCTTCCTTCCTTCCTTCCTTCCTTCCTTCTTCTCCTTCCTTCATTCCTTCCTTCCTCCCCCTCCCTCCCTCCTTCCTTCCTGCCTTCCTTCCTTCCTTCCTTCTTCTCCTTCCTCCCTCCCTCCTTCCCTCCTTCCCTCCTTCCCTTCTTCCTTCCTCCCTTCCTTTCTTTTTAACTTCAAGTGCTATATTAAACTTTAGCACATTTCATGACCCAACATGTAGGTCTCATTCAGCTTCCACAGACGTCTCTATGTCTCCACAAACAAACTTCTGTGTGTCCTTGTGGCTGAAAACAGCAGAAACAATCCTGTCTGCCAACAGTATTCACTATTTATTTACTGTCTGTGACGTATTCTGCCTAAAACTCCTGAAGGACCTGATCTCTGTGTCTTTAAAAATGACAGTAATTCAACGTTTGTGCTTTTAGCCTTTGACCCCGTGTTGTGGAAACCCTCCTAAAAGCCATTTAGACGATAAACTGACTCTAAAACACGACAGTTTATTAAATATATCGTAAAACCTTCCTACGATATGTCTCAGATTTTAAAATAATCTTGTTCCTCTGGCTGCTCCGGATGAATCCTGGGCGATAGTTTAGAAGTGAGGTCACAGCTCAGTGATAAAAGCTGGACGGTGGCCGTTATGTTCATGCGGATGGGTTTCTTGTAATATAACTGACCTCAGTGTGAACTCGTCTAAGTGTTTATTCTTTTATTAATTCACGTCCCTTCTGTGTGTCTTCGCAGCGTCCGACGCCAAGGAGCAGCAGTTCTGGATCAGCCAGCTCCAGGCTTGTGCCCGACGTCACTCGGACAGCAGTGCCAAGGTAACGACCGGCAAACACTCACTAACAGAGCCATAAACATGTCCGAGCTCCCGGTTGCTGCTCAGGAAGACGAGTGAACGGAAAGAGCTGACGTTACCCGGAGGACCCTGTCCCCCGCCGTCTCTGTTTATAAATGGGACGGTTTTCCATTTCTACAAACTGGAGAGCAGTTAGTCTCTGAATCGAGTCCGTCACCAGGTGGAAGCCCTCCTGTGCAGCTCAGGAGTGTCTAGAGGAAGTCCTGCCCTCCTTCCTCCACTTCTGTCAGCCTGCTTTGCTCTTAGTGAGCGTAAAGGTGACGGATTCCTTCTCTGCCGTTTTTCATTTTAAGTGGCATGAACTCCCCCGAGAGCTTTAAAGCGGTGGTGGGATTTCTTCTCTCTTATTATTGGAGGAACATCATTTTCTGACTTTTTTTTTCTCCTCCTGTCGTTCTCGTCTTCCTGAGCAGATAAAATTTTTTAGTGAAGTCTTGCAGCAGCTTTACCTCCTCACTCACATTAAGTCTTTACTCGGTGACGATTTACCGCCAAACAGGACGATTATTTTGCACAGATTAATTATTGCTGGCAGCTCTGTGGTTAGCACCGTCACCTCGCAGCTAGAAGGTCGCCAGTTGGTGTCCCGGTGAGGACACCCGGGATCTTTCTGCGTGGAGTCTCCATGTTCTCCCCGTGCAGCGTGGGTTCTCTCCAAGTTCTCCGGCTTCCTCCCACAGTCCAGAAACATGCTGAGGTTAATTGGTGATTGTAAATTGTCCGTAGGTGTGAATGTGAGTGTGCTTGGTTGTCTGTCTCTAAGTGTAGCCCTGTGATAGACTGGTTACCTGTCCAGGTGAACCTGCCTTCACCCTGAGTCAGCTGGGATAGACTCCAGCCCTCCACTAGTGAGGATTAAGGTGTAGAGATGATGGATGGATGGATCTTTTCATCCACTTGCTCCACAGCTAAGTGATGCTAACTGGAAACCTCGCAGCAGGATTAGCTTGCTAATGCGTTTAGAGTGCAGACTAATGATGTTCTCCAGTGAAAATCACGTTTTTAAAGCTGGTTAATGTGTCAATATGCTGTTTTTATATACGCTGGAAGACATATAATGAGTGAAATGAGCGCTGCAGTGAACTGATGACAGTCTCAGAAACACAGATTCAGACTTTCAGGGTTTCATATGGAACAAACCTCAAGTCCTGTAAACCTGCAACGTGGGACTTTTTATTTCATTATTCATCCAGTTGGGACATGTACGACTGAAGTATTTAATATTACAATGAGCGTAGAGTACACTTTACAGACACTTTACAGTGTTTCAGCTGAGTTGTGGGTGAGCTGGTGTGCTCGAGCTGCAGCGAGTGGGGAGGGACACATGGAGAAACAAACTCAATAGATCTGAACATTTTAGAGGAAAAAACGGCGTAAAGTTGAAACACTTTACAGCAGATAAAAAAAATCATAGTATGTAAGTTTTGAAATTAATTTTTAGCAGTTTAATCGATGACTGGAGATGGACTTTATAAAAATAAAGGCCTCTGTTGCTCTGCTACCTCGGTACAGTTAGAATATCAGATGGCGTTAAACAAGCGCCGCATGTGGACTGCTGCTGCTGCTTCTGGTGGTGATATTGGTGTTATTATTTGTTTATGTTTACTATTTGTGCTGCTGCTTTCCCACCAATGCTGCTGCTCTGACACTTTTTATTTAAAAGATGTTTTTTCTTTATGCTTATTTATTAGTTTTTCTAACGTCTGTCTTATGAACATTTTTCACCCTGTGGAAAGTTGGATGATATTTCATTATACATGACAACAAAGATTAATTAATTAATTAATTAATTAATTAATTCATTCATTCATTCATTCATTCATTCATTCATTCATTCATTCATTCATCCGTTAAACGGAACATGAGATATCTGACTTGATCTAAATTCTGTTCAGAGGATAATTTTGTGCCAAGGATAAAACGGTTCACTGATTTATAAATTTCTCTTTTTTTATCCATTTATTTATTTAAATTGTGTTAATTGATATATTTATACATGAATTAAAACAGCTTAATGTTAACGGGTGTTCAGTTTTATTTGTTGTTTAGCTTCTAAACTCTGATGCTAAAGTGACGGTTTACGTAGAAGTCGATTAATCTGTGCCACATACCGGGTATGTCCGGGCAGACAAGTCTTTCAGTCAGTAAATGTACTAACTTAAACTTTTCTTAGGTTTTTTTTAACCTCATTTAAATCCCTTAATCTTTGGGAAGGACTTAGAAATAGAAATGCAAAATCTGTCTTTTTTTCTTTTTTTTTTGTCACCAGTAATTTCTTTCAGGCTTTTTTTATTTTGCATCTTACTTTTATTGTTTTCTCGTTTCAAAGAAAATAATGTTTTTTTTCAATTACATAAGTTATTAGTGAACTAGGCCTTTTTATTGTCGACCAGTCTGTCGATTATTTAACTCATTCCTCGTTAAGTCTATAAAAAGTCAGAAAATGTTTTAAAATGCTGATCAGTGTTTCCTGAAGCCCAAGATGACGTCCTCGGATGTCCTGCAAAGATGTTGAGTCATAGAGGATGAAAGAAATCGGGAAAAGATTCTCGTTTACAAACCTGGAATCAGAGAGTTTTGACCTTTTTTTTCATCAAATAATAACTAATAATTAAATAGCTGATAATTAATAAGGTGCAGAGTTACCTGTAATAAAGAGTTTAGCTTTAATGTAATAATGAAAACATGAAGCCTGAGTTCACACAGCGGCTGATGTTCTACTGACTCTTCGTTAATAGATTCACTAATTACCGGGTGTTCTGGGGATCGAACTTTCATTCTGACGAAACAAGTTGAAAACATGGAAGTAAAAACACTGGGTCAGCTCAGTGGGAGGACTTTAGTCTCAGTGCAGCATATGTATCATCAGCATCATCTTTCATGTGTTATTCAGAGCTTCCTTTCATTTTCCGACTCTCCTCCGCTTCCTCTCCACGAACGCTTATCGGACCGAACAAATCTGCAGCCGCGGACCTTAATAAATGTCAGCCCAATAAATGCCACGTCTCCGCAGACAGCAGCGTCCAAACAAACTCTGTGCCTCTGACTTTCTGACTAAGCAGCAGCCCGCTCGATAAAGGAACAATTAATGAATCAAAAATTAACACAACAAGAGAGAGAAACAAACCAGGAAGCAGCAGAACTGAGGATGGATGCATTCAAAAAGGCAGAAACATGATAAATTCAAGACTGAGTCTCATTGCAGAGCTCAGCTTGCTCGTCATGTGAAACTCGTCTTGCTCGTCTAATACAGGAATATTTCTGGCTCCTCCACTGACATGAGACTCAGCGATTTAGGGAAACACGGCCTTGGTTTGAGGATGCATGTCGAGCTAAGCGATCCTCCTACCTGACAGATTGAGTGCAGCTGAACCACCTTCCTGGTCTTTTTTTAAATATGGGTTTCATGGATTAATATTTGGATTTTTTTTGTTGGGTTCAGCGTGGGCTTGGAGGGGATTAGTGTGTGTGTGAGCGACTGTATCTCTGTGGGGTGTATCCTCGTTCCCCTGATCCAGCACAGGATGAGGCTCGTTATAGAGCTGCTGCTGCTGCTGCTGGAGCTGCCGGCAGCGGCGACGGCGTGGAAATCAGCAGAGCGTGAGCAGGAGGAATAATCCAAACTTTATTATTATTTCTTTAGCAAACTTTCCGTATTAAAGTTGAGGTTGCAGCTGAGAAGGTGTTGCTGCTCATCATGGGTTCTGGAGTTGGTTTGGTGACCGGCGTCTAATGAAGCAGAGCGTTTTACTTAATTAGAAACATCTGTACAGTCCAGTGCACGTCAGTGCAGCTGTTCTGCTGGAATTCTTTTTGCTTTGTGAAGCTTGTAAAGTTTTCATCAGAGAGGTGTTGATATAACTGCCCCCCTAACGGGATCTGTAATGGATTCAATAGGAGTTAACAAATACGTATGTGTGTGTGTGTAAATCCAGATACAAACACTGAGAGATGTGATGCACAGGAAGTCCAACACATTTACCCAACCAGTCATATTAGAGTTAACAGGGTACAATCACAGTAGGAAAAGCTTTTCATGTGGTAGTACTTGTATCGACAGTCCATCCATCCATCATCTCTACACCTTAATCCTCACTAGGGTCATGGGGGGCTGGAGTCTATCCCAGCTGACTCAGGGTGAAGGCAGGTTTACCTGGACAGGTAACCAGTCTATCACAGGGCTACACTTAGAGACAGACAACCAAGCACACTCACATTCACACCTACGGACAATTTAGAATCACCAATTAACCTCAACATGTTTCTGGACTGTGGGAGGAAGCCAGAGAACCCGGAGAGAACCCACGCTGCACGGGGAGAACATGGAGACTCCACGCAGAAAAATCCCGGGTGTCGCGAACCGGTGACCTTCTTGCTGCGAGGCTACGGTGCTAACCACTGAGCCACCATGCAGCCTGCACCTTTTTTCACTCTTTCAAAATGTTTTTTTCAAACCGATTCTTCACCACACCTGTCTGAGCTGCTGCACTGCTGTAACTGATGGAGACTAGAGGCTTCTCCGTGCACAAGAAGCCAGCCGGCTTCTACTGTGTCCTGCATGTGAGGCGTTGAGGAAGCATCTAGTATCTACCAATAAGCAGCAAGGGAGCAGTTTTGGGTACAGTTGTGGTTTGCATCCAGCAGATGCACTGAATTCATGTGGAGAATGAAACTCCCTGTGTGTGGTACAACTGTCTGTCTGACTGCAGGGAGTGTGAAGCTGAGCCTGTATTTACAGCCTGTAACATATCATTACTTTGCGTTGTTTTCCTGAAAACACCTCTGATGGTAACTTGCAGGAGTTTGCTGTGATTCGTGCGAGTCCTCCCTGCTGATCTGAGCAGTTTCACTTCACATCGTTTCACCTTCATCAGACCATTCAGTTGTCTCTAAGTGACTTAATGCTTCAGTTTTCCTCCTTCAGCTGATGTGTGTTTGCTTTCAGGTGAGGAAGCTGAAGGGCTCGGACGAACACCTGAGCGTGGAGCGAGCCGGAGGAGGCCAGGAGGTGTTGGTGAGTCCACCAACACAGCTTCACCTTTACCTGCAGGGTCTCTCCAGTCAACTAAAATGCTCTTTTTAATCAATTAAACGCTGCGTCCTCATTATGCCACCTCACTCGTTCAACACGTGGCTCTTAAACACTTGCACAGCTGGAGCGAGGGGGGGGAGGTCCAATTAGTCTGCTCAGCCATGATGAGAGGAGCAATCAGAAAGAAGGGAGACAACTGGATAAGCAAAGAAAAGTGGAGGTGGGAAGCTGCCTCCCTCCTGTCCCGCCGTTTTGTTCCTGTTTGGCGGCTGCTGGGTTTTTCCAGCTGTCATTACTGGATCCGCCGCTGAGGTCTAATCCGTCCCCGAGCCGGGCCGTCTGCCTCTCGGATCGCTATCGCAGCTCCTCCTGATGAGGCCTCGGCTGCATCTCCGATAACACGGCTCTGTGGCAGGAAAGGTGCAGGCGGATTATTGATGACAAAAAAAAAGGGGCAGGGGTTCATTTTTCTTCTGAGTCTTTATAAGAAACTGAATGAAAGTCCTGACACGTGTTGTATTGGTGACGGATTCAGGTAGATAAGAGGAACAATGATGAGATATATTTGGATGCTTTTCTTCTCCTCGGTGCCTCAGGACGGCTGCAGAGGAAATACTAGAAACTTCTGTAAATGTTGTGCAAAGCTGTGTTGCTCAAGTAGTAGATCCACACTTTGTTCACACACTGAACCATCGTAATCTTCAAAGTTGCACCAGTTTAGTAGCTGCTGAGCTCAGAGCACGTCCCTCCACATATCCTCACAGCACACAAATGTTGTGAGTTTGAGCCGAAATTCCACAAAATCAGCAAAACGCATTTATGCAAGTTTACCCTCGTTGTTGTTACATGAGCAGTCGAATCTGTAGACACCATAAAAATACGACATTTGTGTTTGTTTCAAGTATTAGTTTGAATAACAATGACGTCATCGCTTAACACAAATTTTTTATGTAGCTCGAGTGGACGTTTATGTTCAAAAAGTTCAACAGGGCTTTATTTGTCATTTCAGCCACATCCAGCTGAAATGAGACAGCGTTTCCCAGATCCAGAGCTAAAGTGGTAGCGCAAAGAACGCAGTGCAGAAAAAGAAAAGACAAAATAAAGTAAAATAAAATAAGGTAAAATAAAATAAAGTAAAATAATATAAAATAAAATAAAATAGAATGAAATCAAATTGAATAAAATAAATTAAAACAAAATAGAACAAAATAAAATAAGATAAAATAAAATAAAGTAGAATAAAAAAGATAAAGTAAAATAAAATAAAATAAAAAAGATAAATTAAATTAAATTAAATTAAATTAAATTAAATTAAATTAAATTAAATTAAATTAAATTAAATTAAATTGAAATATGGGAACAGGTCGTGCAACCAAGACAATACAACACCGCTCAGTTTTATCATGTTTGAGGTGTGTCAGAAAAGTTTCAGGACTGGTGTCACAAAAGATATATTTCAAATCCAAATTAATCCATCCAGCTCAAACTGAAGGAATAAATGAAAAGCAAACTCAGATTAGGATGCAGGTAACCGGCCTCCAGCCTGCTCAGGAACAGAGGTTGGAGAGGGTTGGCACCTGAGCTGCAGCTCTCTTGCAGGCTTTGGCCACATCTTCTCTTGGTGGAGCCAACAGAGACCCTCTTAGAAAAACAAGCTGAAATATGAGTCTTACAAATACAGAGGCCGTCACACTTCTTACCAACCGGGCCCTGTGATCGGATCAAACAACCTGAAACAGCCACTAGAACCTTAAAGAGAGATTTTGCAGTTTGATTTTTTCATTCGGCCTTTGTTCAAACCACGAGTACGATGAGGAACGTAGGCCTTATTTATAATGTACAATAGACGCAGGAAGCTTGTGCAACAATAACAATATTTCAGGGCAAAGTAATTAAAATGATAAAAAGCAACAATTGGAGAGTTTAAAATAAGATGAAATGAAAAACCTGAATTGCCCTGAGGATAAAATTAAATCCCCTTTGTTGGTGTTTCCTCTTCTGTCCTGCTTTCTTGATCATTTGATGGAGCTGAGAAGCACAGCAGCGTAGCAGCATAACCACGCTGACGGTGTGAGAAAGCAGTGCTCAATAAAGCGATAACTCTTTAATGAACGAGCAGACGCTGAAGTCCCTCTCTATAGATCCCACCAGGTCCCGTAGGAGAGGCTGACCTTGCTCGTTGCACCGCCACCGATCTGTCACCGGTCGCAGCTGGTGGACTCAGCGAGCCGCTTTCCTTTCTCCAGCCGCCACAGCTGAGCCCCACAGGTCTACTGGTCACACCGGTTGCTTTTCTGTCGGTTAAACTAAAATAGGTGCCTCATCCGTCTGCACAGCCTGAGAGAGCACCGTCACATAGAATCTCTGTTAGAGGACTGAGCATGGAAAGATGGAACGATGACAATACAACGGCCTTCACTGAGCTGAACCGCACCAGAATAAAACTGCTTGAATAGCCAGCGAGGACACTTCATACCAGTTTCACCTCCATCTGCGCCTTGTCCCCGTACATGCACAGAAACCGTTCGTCCAGTTCTGACCCGTGTTCTGCTGTTGCATCAACCTGCCAATGAAAGGCCCGTTATCTTTACAGAGCCGACAGAGTTACAGCATTTAGCAGATATTTCCGACGTACCTTCAGCTACACGTCTAAGACCAGGCATCCAAGCTTAAAATCATCATATTTCATCAAAATACTTTATTCTGCATTTCTCATTTAAAACTTTGACAAAAATAAACCACTCTGAAAAGAATTCTGGTTTCTCCGGCGTAGCTGTGGTGCTGTCAGTGACTCAGCTACAACCGACAGTCACATGACAAACATTCCCGCCAAACTGGACTGAACTGCTGGCCGTGTGTTCGCAGAGCAGAGAGGAGACACGACGGCAAAAAAGCCCAAATATTATGGGATTAAACGCCAAGCAGTGAAAGCTCATTCAGTGGATCTGGGGTTGGCTTTCTCTAAAGGAGAGGACGAGGATAAAGAGTGGCATGGAACTAGCCTGAGATGTAAGGGTTGGCGGTTAGCATAGTTAGCTGGGCTTTTTCCATTACAGCAAATGTGATGCTGTGTTAATAGCTTTTGGCGGCTTTGAGCAAAGTCTACATATTGTGTTTGTAGACAGTAACTAACAATCTGAACACCAAAACCTGCTGGGATTCTGTCCTGCACCATTTATCAGAGCCAGAAACTGTAAAATCTAAGAGAATGGTTGGATTTTCTACTTTTGTCCTTGAACTACTCATCTGTGACGAGATGTTCTGTCGGCAAACTTGTGCAAAGTGCGGAAACAGATTAAAATGTAAACCATAGAATATGTCCAGCGTGTAGAGTTGATGTTTAACGGTGTTGGTTACATCTGTTGGAAAAATGTTGGACGTGTTGATCCAGGTTTTTACAATTTTTGTGAAATAAAAATTCAAACAAGTTACCGTAATGTCCGGACTATAAGCGGCTACTTTTTTCACACGCTTTGAATGCTGCAGCTTAAACAATGATGCGGCTAATTTATGGATTTTTACGAATTTGCCTCGAGACCAAAGTGACGCTGAGAGCGACGACAGAGAGACTGAGGAAGTGACGAAGTGATTCTGAGGCTGTTCAGCTCCTGAAGACACTGAAGAAGACGGCTTTAGTGGTTTTAGTGCAGGAGGAAGATGAAGATAGCGATCAGTGACTTTTCCTGGTAGGCTGCTGGAGTTTTATTTCCTTAACCAGCCTTGTTACAGGAACTGTTCAGAAAAAAGCATCTACGGTACGTATTTAATTTAAAGTTAAGACATCTCTCTGTGTAAATATCTCATGTTCCAACGTGGACACCTGCAGCTTAGAGACCAGTGCAGCCTGTATATGTACACACCTGGTTTTCTTTTAAAGTTAGTGGGTGGGGCTTATACTCAGGTGCCTCAATATTCTGGTAGTTGTTTTAAGAAGTCTCGAGGTTCTTTGTGTTTAGACGTTCGAAGCCAGATCTAGAACCCGAAACAGCCAAATTAAACTTGGCTATCATGTACACCTGCACGTTTCAGACAAGTGCCGCCGTCCTCCTGAGAACGTGGCTGGTTCTCGTGTCCACCCTTCTGCAGCTCCATGGCGAGCTCTGCTGCAGGTGGAGGAAGCGGCGAGGCGGGAAGCACAGCTACACTTCATCAAGCTGATTAGCGGCCTGATAAATTAGCTGGTAAGCGTGCGCTCGACGTTTTATCGTGAGGCTCAGACTGCACGCGCTGTCAAAGCGTGGACGCTGTTCTCCACCGGGTTGAAGACAGAAACACTATTTATGTGGCGTGCAGTATCTGCTGTTGCTAAGGTGGAAATAGCACGCTGAGATGAGGCTGAAAAGCAGCAAATCTGCTTAAAATAATTGAATTTCAGTGAACAGTGAGGCACGCTGTGGTCTAGAGGTTTTCTCTGTAATACAGAAACTATTCTCTAACCCTACAACGGTTATTAGTGAATAGCTAATTGCATGTAATTAGTGTTGTTTGCTGTAGTGCAGAAAATAGCAGGTCAGCAGCTGACCGTTGTGCTGTTTCCCCATGCTGCCTCACACAGGGCCGCCCACGGTGACGACACATCACCTGTGAAGTGGCAGGAGGGTGGACTCTTTTACCCTGAGTGCAGTCTGACAGGCAGCGAAAAATAGCCTTAAATTACTGAAGCTGTAGAGCCCAAAATGTAAATTTTCAGCATCTTCCAGAGCCGTGGGAACAGCTGTTTATTCCAGATTGACCTCTGAAGCCCAAGTTTCTGTTTGTTTTCTTATTTATTGTTAATATACATAGCATTTATATGCTGGTTATGGAGGTCGTACATGTGGGCTCAGCATTTATTTTAGGTGGATGTTGTATTATGATGATTGGAGATGAGGTTACAGGGATGTTTGGCAGCTTTCATGATGAGCACCTTGGCTGAAGATGTATAAACTGTTCTTGGTCTTGTTTTTTCTTTTTTTTGGTTTATTTGTTCTTTTGTTTATTAGTTTGTTTGTTTGTTGACACTGTAAAGACGGGGCAGGACTAGATCAGCTTTTGCTTCTCAAACTAGATAAAAGTTGACATATGTGTGCATTATGTTTATATCAGGTCTTTGCTGGGGTTTTTTTCCCTCTTTTGTTGAGTATTGTAGTTGAATTCTCAATAATGCTGATGTATTATATATATGTATCGCTTATTCTGTATTTTTTTTTAACATATACAGCGCCCTCCATAATTATTGGCACCACTGGTTAAGAT